GCATAAATAAATAAGTTATTTCAGGGCTGTCCCATCTTTCGAGGGCACAGTTCACGATAAAAATAGTTTATGATGTAACCCCTGGATTGAATCTGTGGCCCTCTCGTTCAGCATATATGGGGCTGTCAGATCAGAAAGAAGCCTTAATAAGGCGTTATAAGGGCTCAATGATTGTATCTGCTGTATGCCACACCCGAAGGTGGACGAGTTTTAATAGCGTTGTAGGGGCCACACCGTTCACAAAGAACGCCCATGTTAGATATCCATACAACTTTTCGTGACTCATAGCGAAAATGGAAGGCAGTTTGAACATTTTGGCCTAGTGTAGTCGGCCCTTTGTTCAAATGCAACAACTGAAATCTCGTTCAACTACCCGTTTCATGCCATTCCAGCCATGGCGACCTCGTACAACCCATTCTCACTACTTTTAAAAATCTTTGGTTTCCACAGGATTTTCTCGCTCCCTTCATCGTCATTGTACTAACTTCAACCAACCCTTCCGCTTTTCAACTTGAAAAGGGTATCTCAAGTATATTGCAAACTGACGTTCAACCATTTTTTAAACATTTACAGGAACTTAGGAGCAGAATAAAGAGGAGATCTCACTTGTCTACCAACTAGAAAACGTTATTGTCCCGTTAAGAATTTTCCATATGGTCGTTCCTGTTCCATAGTTACTCAGTAATAGCCATGATCTTCCCCTTACAGATTCTAACTCATCTAACCCTGCCTGCAACCTAAGCCTACCTGTCATTCAGGGACTTTGCGAAAACCAACTCATTTTCAACGATGCAGAATACATTTTCAGTGATGTGTAGGAGACTTGTTTTTCAGCGTGGAAACAAACACTTCCAATAATTCCACAGCTCATAATCGATGTCCTGGTCTACCTGCTTTTGGGAGTAATCTGGGCTTTAATTATGAAGCGGGTTTCATGTAAGAGCCAGCAAATATAGATGAAAGCGGTTTTTCGGAGCTGAGTACAAAACGCAGGCGCCGGAGAAAGGGATCAGGAGGGTACAGCGACGATTGGAATTGCAACACGATGACGCCCAGGCCATCGAATCAAGCCTGAACTTCTTTTGGGCTAATCAGTTTTTCAATCCCACAAGGATAAAACTGAACATTTACTTGTGTTCAAGATCAACCCTCAATAAATCTTGGCGTTTTCATTACTTGTAAGTTATAAGTGTATACCTTAAGTCCCGAATTTGCCATAGTAGCTTGCTTTCCCATTAAACTTCCCCCTACCCTCCTCCCCCACCCTCGGATTGGAATGATTTTTGATCAGATGGTCTCTAAACTGGCTTGGATTTCTTCTTTCCTGGCTCAAAAGAGAGCCGTCTGAAGCCATGTATACATTAGCCTCGTATAAGGCTTCCTCCCTTATTAAGCGCTGCGACTTATCTATCAACCTCAGACATTCTACTCGATTGAAATAGTAGTTTACCAGTGAGTGTTCGTCCTCATAGGGCAAGTCGTAGTCTCAAAAATTAAAAGAAAAACTGCAAAAGTAGCTTTGTGAGCCGATTTTTCCGAGGGTTGAAGAAGTTCAAGCAAGGGGGATCGTCACAACCCGAAAAATGTCCCATATGGTTTTTCGGCGGGTAAAAGGGTCCCCAATCTGGAATACATCAATCAGAATGGGCTAAACGGTGACATGTCTCCGAAGGGGACAGAAACTCTTCCGAAATAAAAACGTAAACTGAATTTCAAAAGTCGGTACATGAAGACGCGGGTTTCCCCTCCCAAAAATGGAACTCAAAGGCATGGCAGGTACCTGGGGAATTCAGTAAAGTCAGCCACTTCTCTGTAAACTTTTTACAAGTTTAGCTGTTAGTTTGTGGCTCTGTTGGACGACTGCAAGTCGAGAAATTTCCATCATTTCCTGTGTGCAGAAAATATATCCCCGTTGCAATTCCCTTCTACCGTGCAAATTGGTTACCAGTAAATGCTGTATGCCGTCATAACCACCCACATTTCAAAAATCTTATTAACGTCAAACGTGTCTTTGAAAAACGAGTCGTTCAAGACAGGCAAGTATACTAGTAACGCCAATTTCGATCGCAGTCAGACCAGGGTCCAACGAAACCTAAGCTCATGGTAGTCGCTCAACTCTGCCCGGTTTCTTGGACCTCGGAAATATAGGATCAGGATTGTATTAGTTGAATCAAATTTCTGCATTCTCTGTCCTTGAAACTAAAAATTTACATGGCTATTGGACTGAAAAAGGGTCGGGTCCCTCCGTATAAGTGACAGATTCCCCATGGGCCTTAGTGGTCCGATTCCAGTTCCACCAAAATTTGACCGAGCTGTCCAGCGACTTGAAAATTTAATTGACTCTCGGTATGAATCTATTTCGGAAGTCATGCCAATGATATTTTGTTTACTTCAACAGAAAAAACATGGGTTCACATTCTTCAAATTTTGAAGCGCTACACCCCTCTAGATACGCCATGCACTCGAACTCCAGCCTTGTTCACTTTGGATCTGAAAGCTACATTTTGCTTTATTGATGGGTTCATGAAAATGGCCAATGTTTTCATCTTTTTTCCTATCCGCTCAGACTAATACTTCAATTAAGGGGCTCTGGGGAATGAATTGGCTGAGATGGTGAATTGGCTAGTTAAGGGGTAGGGCCAAAAGAACAAGTGAAGGAGTTCAATTTACAGTTTTTACTTACTTGAAATCTCCCCAAGCCAAAAAGCTAGCTATGGTTGAAATGAAGACAGAAAGACCCAGAAAGGGTAACTTACCGTACTGTAGGATGCACTATGCATTTGAAAACCTTTCCAATCTTGGTGTTGATGCTATGGCCCATAGCTGGTTCATTCAGGCATTCATTGCCAATGTTACATTTTGTTTTCGATTTGCTGCATTTACGTCGAGACTAATCGTTTACTACTACTGATGGTTCCCCGATGCTGCAGCATTCCAGAAAAACAAGCGGATGAATTTCTGGCCAACAAAGATATTTGAGACCCAATGGGCCCAATATCTGCCGTCATCCAAAGGTTTTTATAAAATCCTAAAAAACCAGGAAATGCTTTCATATCTGAACATAAGAATGAAGATGGGAAAGTAGCTGTCGTCCTTCGTTTATACAAAAACACGGGCTAAGAAGTTCAATTTCTCTCCTTTAAGATGACAGTTTGCTGAAGAGGATTCCCATTGAAAACTCTCAGAGGAGCACAAACCACTAACGGGGGTGGGGGACCTTGCCATCGATCTACTAGTAAACATTTTCTTCCCACAACCCTATATGTTTACTGAGTCCTGGTCGTATTATTGGGTTTCAATGGATTTTCTTAGTTTTCGATTCAATAATCCCACAAATAAAAGCCGTCGTAGGCTGGTTCTCCCATTTAAATCCCATTCTCCCAAAAATCAAATTCAACATGGTGATTTGGCCAGTTTAACGGCAAGACTGGAGATGATGCATCGTAATCCTATGGATCAGAAAATTCTCACGCTAGTCAAGCCCTAAGTCGTCCAGGCTCAACTAGTTAGGGCCGTACTTGTGTGAAAAGGCAGGGCTACCAACTCGATTAAGAGTCCAGTTCTTAAGGTCGAGGTGTGGATGAAAATGGCTTTCAAATGACTCTTCAGTTCGAATGGAATCCGTATGCATGGCGCATTCCTACTCAACGCTAACAATTTCGCGTGCTATCCTTTCCCTGATGAAATGAGGACCCGATTTCTTCCTGGAACTATCCTTTCAGAGAAAATGCTTGCCGCTTCCAGATCCCACCAGCATCGTTGAGTACTAGCCAAGCCAATGGGCCAGGAAAAGAAAAAGTCTATTTTATGGGCATGTTAGAAAAAGGAAGAGAAAGCTGCAAGACCTTTCAAACCCCCCTCTTGATGAATGCTCAGATCTGAAAGCGGCAAACGCTTTGCACACAGCAGTAAAGCACAGCTCTTAAGAAGTAGTTTTTTTCCTGGGCTAATAATATTGAAGACCGGCCGCTTCTGGTGGTGGTAGGCTAGGCTAGTTCATTATTGGGACTGGCACTTGCACTGGCCACCAAAGAACATTGGGCAGAGAAATGGGGCCTTGTTTAATATGTTTCCTTTACAAAATACCAATTACTGGCCTTTTCTGGGCTACCAGTCTTTGATGCACAAATGATTAGCGCTGAGACAAACCGAGCTAGTGTTTCCCAGGAAAAAACGTTTGCTCGGGATTTTGTGACTTTGGAGAGGCCAACTGAAGGCAAACAGGTGAGGAGCTACTGGAAGTGGAGCAGTTTCGAGTACTGAATCCCTACTGGGATTGAGAGTACTGGATTTATGTTCCCGTCAACTTTTGTGATCGGGTGGCTGTTCAGGGAAAGGTGCCCACTTGTGAGAAGAATCTTTGTCTTAGTTGTTGTGCCTTCTTGCAGATCGCT